TCTGAGCATCTTTCAGGAATCACCCACCACGTGCAACCGAATTCATGGCATTCAATGTCTGTCCTCAACAACTCTGTTACAGGCAGACTAGAAATGACACCTAAGGGCAGTCAGTCTCAAAGTTTTATTTTGAAGATTATCTTCTCAAAATAGTTTATAAACTGGGGGGAAATCTTCCTTTTTTAATAAATCAAACAGGAAATACCTAATTCACTGAGACAATAACTTTTACTTTCAAATCTGAGGACTCAGTGGAAAATCTGTGATTGTGCAGTAACTGTGAGTTCCTAGGTGGCCCAGGATGGGCAGGACTGGCAAGAAAAGATCTTTAAATGCCCCATTGCTGGTAAGAGGATCCACCTGTCATGTCCAGCTGAGACACTGCCACTATTGCTTTTTATTTCTTGTAGGAGGTTTTGTACCTGCAGACAAACAGTTGGAGTCACTCATTGCTGTCATGAGCTAAAACATAACCAAAAGCTTGGCTGTCTCAGGTACCACAATACAGTGATCAAATAACCCAGCCATGCACTATCCTTTCCAGTTTAAGGCACCCAGTAGTAATGGTTTTGCTACATAATGACTTATTTTAGATATAAACACACAGAGAGGTACGTATATTTCATATTAAAATAACAGCAGGACGTTGCTTTGGAAATCATGGTTATCTCCACTTCCACCTGCAAACTCTGACATCACATCTTATAATTTGTGTCTATTTCTACCCTGCATCTTTTATCTGCTGCTGTTGTTGAGCTGACTCAGAACCAAATTGTCAGCAAACCTCAGCATCACTTAATTCTTCAGTGCTCTCCCATGGAGAAGGAAGGAAAAGAAAAAAGGAATAAAACTGTCCCTTTAAAAAGCCAGGCATTTAAGCTGCTTGTCAGTCATCTTCCTGACAAGGCCACTTGAATGTATTCAGGAATATTTGCATAAATGCTCGCTGTGAGTTCACCGTGGCAGCTACTGCTAATGGTACATAAAGTAATTTAGTCACTTCTCTTAGGCATCCTGTCAGGGTGATAAGCACCCCCTCTTTGCCTTGTTGCATATTAGATCATTAGATAATAAAGTGTTAGAGCATGCAAACTGACAGGGTCTCAGGGACTATCATTTTTCGAGGGCATTGCATTCTGCCAGGAAGGAAAAATAATAGAGAAACTGATGCTGCAATTGGCTTTACACTCTTGTAAAGACATTCAAAAGATTTGAGAAGAAAAAAGGATTTTTACTTTGCAATGATATGAGAGTGTTAACTGGAAACTTTGCAGTGGATTTATTGCTGGTAAACTTGAAAAGAGTTGTTGCAAGCCCTGCCAGAACTCTCCCCTTCAGTAAGTTCATCACTTAAATTTCATTGGGAAGATTTTGCTTTTAAAATTGACACCCTGGGATGAAGTACAAGCTGAAATATATCCTACTGGTTGGGGCCTGTTGGCTCTTGACTATACATCTTACTATATATATATAATTTGGAAAGGTCAACCACACCAGCTTTCTGGTTTACCATAAATATAAAACCAGTGAGGATCCAACTATTTGAGAATGAAAAAGTGATAATTATTGAAAACCACAGATTACTGTGGCTTACCCTATTTATACCACACAGAGATGGATGAAATAATAATTGGCCTCTGCCAGCTATTACTTTTAAAAGATAGATATGTTTTTTGAAAGATGAGCTGCTTAACCCACTGGCTTCAAGGGGGCAGCGTGTGGATACAAAACCAGGATCTGGGGTCCTGGTTAAATTCAGAGAAAGGAGCTACAAAAAAGAACCTTCCCTTTACTGAGAGAGAAGCCTGACAAGCAAGATATAAATAAAGATGTGTTGGATGTCCCGAAAATAATCCAGGCTACCTGCTAATGAGATGGTGAAACCAAATGTGGAGACACCAGGCTCCTGGGTGACTTGGGAGGTGCAGCTTTCTTCCCAGATTTTTGGCCCCCAAAGTGTCTTTTAGGTGTCACACAAACTGCAAGTCCGTGTTTCAGAGCAGCAAACACAAGTTTGTAAGGAAAAATAAGCTGGGTATTGTCTAAGTAAACTCGATAACCAGCACACCTTGCTTCATCCTGCCTCCCCTTCCCCAACCCTCACAGTCAGGCATTCATCTCTATTGCCATCAGATATTTGTGTTAAGAAGTTAAATGTCTGGAAAAGTCCACAGGAATACCTTTGGTCAAGGGTATATTATAGTCAGACCCCAGATTTTACAAACCTGTGCTGAGTAGCTGCTCACCAGAGCAATGGACCAGAGACAAACCATGGCTACATTCACTGCCCATCTCCCTGTTTATGGATACAGCTCAGGTCACTCTGTCCTGCCCCTGAGGGAGGCAGAAAAACTGGGAAGAAGAGAGGCAAACAAACTGCCTCTGGTATTATCAAAAAAAAAAAAAATTCCAAAAACTGGATAAAAATAATACATTTTGTGACTCGAACTGAAAGCAAAAATAAATTTTGGTGGAAGAAATTGTCATCTGTTCCAATGGGTCTTGTCCAAAATTCCGTAGCATTAAGCCTTTTCCTTTCTTTTTATTTATTTAGTTAAGTGTTTTAGATACCTAATAACATCATAACAATAGTTACTGGATTTTTAATTTTTTTTTCCTGTTTCTTGGACTCACATGTTCACAGAATTCCTGGAGAGCTGGACTAAAAGACTTAGGTTAAAAAGAAAGGCTCCACCAAGTCTTTGGGAAGAGAACAATTTTTTAGTGTGAAGGTTGCTATTCAAAAGTAAGAATTTACTAGCAGTTGCTTTATGAGTTTGCTTGAGAGGTGCCTGAGAAAGCAGATTAGAAAAATCACCTTTCCCCCAAAATGCACACATGGAGATATTTTGCAGATGTTGACTTTTAATATCAGTACAGTAATTCAGGTGTGTGCAGAGAATTATCTTTTTTTGTTGTTGCTTTTTGCCACCAGAATCCCTCAGGTTGTAGGAGTGGGAACAACAGCTGTGGTAAAATGAGACACCACCGTGCATGAGGATAAGGGCATTTATATAAGAGAAATTAAGTACTGCCTCGACCAAAAACATGCACTGAGAAGACTGCAATGGGGAAAAAAGAAAAAAAAAAAAAAAGATGGCAACTACTTTAGTAGGAATATAACAAAAAAAATAGGAGTGTTTTTTTAAGACTAGAATTAGTGGAAAGACTACAAAGTTGAACAGAAAGAAGTTTCCCTTTGTAATGCCTTCTGCTAATTAATAAAGACAGAGTTCATACATTCCTTATAAATTTCAGTAAAAATTATGACAGTGGTTTGTTTATTAAATTAGGTTGTTGGCAGGATGAAAAAAAAATTCTATAACATGAATTATGGCTGAAAATGGCTCGTAGCCTACATAAAAAGTTAGAGCTAAATAAATACAGATGTAAGTTATGTTTATATAATGAGAAACGCTGCTGAGCTAAGAATTTTAGGTTAGTAAGTGTGAACTACAGACCCGATTCTGCAAACACTTATCAATACCCTCAGCTTCTCTGACACAAGAAGCCTCATTGATCCCAACAGGACCATATGTGAGCATAATCTTAAATATATGCATAAGTGCTTGCAGGACTGATGCCTGAAAGCATAAACAGAATAGAAAACTATTTCCACAGGAATCCACTGAGCAGTAGAAACCCACACATTTTCCCATTTCTCAGCATTAATAATTTCTTTTAACATATCTAGTTAACATTTTTCTGAGTGGCATTTGCTTTCCCAGAGAAAATTTTATCTGGTTTCTTCAAACTCTTTGGAAAAATCTATTCAATTATTCATCAGATCCTTGGCAAATATTTGTGAAACAAACCAGCATAAAGGACTGGTGCCTTCTACACTCAGCTACTTCAATAGGAGCTGAGGGTACACATCTCTTAGAGGGAGCAAGCACCTATTGAATTTAGGATTACAAACAGCTTTGAAGACAAAGAGCTATTCTACCAAGCTGGAACAGGGAGAGGGGAGTGAAATGCCCTCTGTTTTTGTTTTGTTTTTCAGCAGTACTCATCAACTTTGAGGACAAAGAGCAAAACAAAACATTAATCAAATCCAGATTTTTCAAAGTACATTTGCACTCAACAACTCCCATTTTAAGCACCTACAGTCACCAGCAGATGTTCCCTTCCAGAACCAGCTGACCTTACAGAAGAGATTACTGTCCCCAGGCTGCTTCCAGCCACGTGCCCCCATCCCACCCTTGCTGGAGTTTACTGTGCTTTCAGAAAAGCCAAATTGCCAAATTGCCTTGCACCATTTCTCCTTCAATCATTTCAGCAACAAGCCAGATTGGCAAAGAGTGATTATTTAAATGGTTTAATTTAAATGAACTTCATTGGCCTGGAGGAGACCAGGGAGCAAGCACACAACCATCCTAGCTGGCATGTCCATGGTGAAGAATAGCCTGGAGCAGGGAGGAGAGACAAACAGCTGTGGGAAAAGCAACGTCCTCAGCTGGCACAGCTGGAGCCAGAAAAGAACATTCATCCATGGCTTAAGTAAGCAGATGGATTTCCAAAAGGGCTCTGCTTTCATTTAGGGCAATTCAAAGGAACAGATGAATCTCCTAGACAGCTCAGCACCCTATAGATAGAAGAAATGCAATCCAAAATTTGGGTGCTGAGCACTTCTGAAAATATGCAACATACTTTAGATGCACAATCAAAAATCAGGGCTGTCTGGAAAAAAAATCAGACTCCAATTTTGGGTGCTGAATAAATGCAACCAACATTTCAAAAAAAAAAAATCACCCCACTTCACTGACACACAGGACAACCTCTGCACTCACGTTTGCTTACTTTTTGGTCATTTCACTACATTTAGAGCTGACGTACTTGAAAAACTCCCCCTTTGGTCTGAAGGCCAGTCCCTTTCAAACGCCTGGCCCCAGAGACAATAAACTCTTACAGGACAATTTTGAAACCAGCAGGCAGAGACACAAACCAAATAAACCCACATTTAGAGTAGCAATGCCAACCAATGAAAATGATTTGCCTACCATGTTCCAGATAAGAAGGCGTACCTTCCGAGGGATCGAGTCTTCGAGCTCTCCGCCCGTGCTTGGAATTGTTGTGCACAAACATATTGTCTGACACTGCCAGCACATGGCCATCAACATTGACTGTTGTAGACACCACGACCTGCAAGCACAAGAGAGAGATGGAGGAAAATTTGGATAAATCCGTGTGTTTTTTAAAAAGCACGGAGTGTAATAAACTCAGTTAAATAAATAACAGCTGGGAGCTGTAGAAAATTGCAAAGCTATTTCGCATAATAACTGGTGCTTATGCTGTACAAATCTAACAAGAGACGCTATTGATGAGTGGGTCTTTGGCATCGAAAGCTTTTGATGCAGCTTTAAGTCAAATTGCAGAGTTTGTAGCTGCGTGGCAGACAGCACACTGTTAACCATCATTTTAACAAGAAGATCTTTATTAAGTATTTTTTCTCCTATATACAAGGGCAGCTGTGTTTCACCCTAAATTATCCTTCAGTTTCCACGCTGAAGTAGATAGAGATGTTGACATTGCAAATGAGAATTGATTCAGAATAAAAGAAAACAAAAGTGTATTTGTGAAGTTGTAACAAGAGTTGTTGCCTGCCTTGCCCCCACCCTTCTCTGCTGCTCTCCCCTCAGCACAGTCACTGCAGGTTGTTGGACTTGCCCAAATTTCTCCTGAGCTCTTAAGGAATACATATAGGCATGTTTGTGTACACACACACACACACTTGACAGTGGGGTCTTGATCTGGAGAACACAACTCTATTCATCCAGTGTTAGAATTATTTGTATTTCTCAACTTATCTCAATGTCAACACCTGGGATTTGATTTGAGGCGAGGTGAGGGAGGCACAGCAGGACTGCACTGGAGGAAGGATCAGACACTTCTGCTCCCCAGAGCTGCCCAGGGCAGAGAGGAGCCAACCCAGCAGGGGCAAGCAGGTAAATGATGGGTCCAGAGTAGAAGACCCAGCTGCTCCAAGGTGTCCAGAGGGACTCCTCAACTTTGAGGCTCCTAAAGGAAATCCCTGTCCAGGCAGAGAGCATGTTAGCCATGAAATATCCTGGAGAAACAAGTCCCCTGCAGAGCTGCGAGCTCATCGCACCACGTCTCCTCCTACCCCGTTCACACCAAGCAGTCTCTCAGCCTCCCTGGCTTTCATTCAGCCACCCCTCCCAATGCCTTTTCCCAGGAAAAGTATGGCATTCCCAGGGTTTTACCCCAGCCAAAGATTTGGCCTTCAGCTGGCTGCTGGCTTGCCAGGAGCACGCGGCGCCTTTGAGAACTTTGACTAAAACAATAAGAAGAAATGACCTACACTTCTCCTTACATTAAACAGGGAAAGGGATTAAAGACTGAAACCCACAGAGATATGTTTATTCATGCGACCTCTTACAACCAAATATAATAATTGTCTGTTAATTGCAGTTTCAGCTCCCACCTCATGCTTCGACATGTGAAACAGCAATCAGCAGCTCCTGTTTAATCCACCTATTATGTTGACTAATTAACTTTGCTCGACAGTTTATTTCTTCCTCCATTATCAGCCCCTGTCAGCCGCAAGCACAGAGCCGCAAAGGGGGACCTCAGCCCTTTTGATTGATCACCGATAGATTGACATGCAGATTAATTTAATTAGAATCACCTCACTTGAGAAATGAAAGACAATGGCAAGGGGGCTAATAGATCTGCTCTTATAATGAGGCAAGCCTCCAGAGCCACGGCAGAGGATTTCTGATTTATTTTGCTGAATTCCCCAGTCGCTCTGAAAGGCTCTCGCTTTAATTGTTCTTGGTTTTGAGAGGCTTTAGCCTCTGAAGAGGTGAAATGCTTTACAAGGATTGGCAAACATTGCTTCAACTCTCTCAGGAAGCTGCTGCCTCTCAAAGTTGGTCAAATGGGGACACTTAAAGGATCGCTTACAACTATTCAATTTCATCACTTGAATTGAAGCTGGAAGAAAAAAAAAGAGTGAAAGTAAAATTTTTCTACCTGTTTCTGGCCCCAAATTAAAATACTCAAAAAGTAAGCAAAGCCACTAAACTGGCCAGAGTTGATCCTGAAGTTTTTCTCTTGAAAAAGAGGAATACAAAAGAGAATATTTTACATCTAAAAGATCCTAACCCCATCCCTCAGAATGGCATTCCAAGCAATAGATTTTTGTGCATGTTTTAAGTGAAAGATATTAAAATACAGAATAAATGATTCAAGAGCTCCTACAGATGGAAATTTGGGGAAAAGAAAGCACCAAATACTACAGATAAGTTTTTCTGAAATCAAACTAAGGAGAGAAAAAAACCCAAGCCCTATATATAAAATTCCAAAAGGGATTTCAAAAGTAATTTATCCATTGAATTCCTGAGGGGTAGAATAAAGTTTATGATATTTTCAATAAAATATGATCTTATAGTAAGTGGCTCAGGGTTTGCAATCTTATTTGCGGACTTGCAACCATTGTAAATTCTTTGCAAGTGGGGTTTTGAGCCAAATCCTTGGCATTGCCTGTCACAGCTTCATGATTTATGCCAGCTCCTTATCTTCTTCTATGGGTTTGATTAGATGCATATGAAAACTAACAAAATTACAATTAATAACAATGGCTGCAAGTTAAATATTTTCCCCAGTTCCAAAACCCTATAGGTACACACAGACTTCCCACTGAAGCTGATCAATCCTGGGCTGAAACCAAAACTTTCCACATTTTTAGAAGTGGGATTCCAGAAAAATAATGAGTCAGGAGAAGTAACAGTAAGGTAATTCTCAAACCTGTGAAAATCCTGTATCTAAGCAGCTGTTGCTATACATGCAACTTTCTAGGTAAGAGCTTGAGGAAACAATCCTGTTGAGGTTTTATGTGAGTAAAGCTACATTTAATTTCCCCCTCCTCAGGTTTTCAAAACTGTTGATGCAACATATTTTGAATTACTTAGCAATGTCTTCCTAGCTCCCTCCTGAACAGTTTGATTTACTATGAAGAGACCACATTGGTGTGGTTCTTTGGTGTCGTTAGCAGCAGAAACTATAAATGGAATCCCCAAGAGAAACTGTTTCCAGTCTCAGGAAATGTAGAAAAAAACCTCTTATGTGTCTGTTTGAAAAAAAATGATTATTCATAGCACACCTGTAAGAAGCAACACGCTCTTGCTGCTCAATTCTTAAAATGAAAATCCTCATTTATAGAGGAACACTGAATGCACACTGCACTAAGGAAATATTAATGCCTCTAATTATTAAGAGTGAAAAAAATGCACCTCGAATATTGTGTGCCACAGTTACCTACTTGGATTGCTACAGAGCACTTACATACTTACAAGTTCTACTCATATTTTTTAATCTAAAAAAATACTACACTCTCCTCATTTTGATTTTGAAACGACTGGGATATGTTCAAGTTAAAGCACATGCTAAAACTAATTTGTGGAGAAATCATAAAATTAGGGGGAGGGGAGAGCCAGAGTATATGTGGAATGGGCACCAAGGCATCCTAAAACACAGACTGTAGCAAGAGGGAAAGGCACACTACAGTTTAATAAATGATTAATGAGGTGCTGACACATTAATGTAAGCACAGGGACAACCAGGTCTGCCAAATCTCAAACCTTTCCAAATTTTGTCAACAAAACACAGTTTTAATTTGAGACAGGCAAACACGGAAAATGATTTTGAGCTTTAGCTTTAGCCCTTCATAGATTTTGAATTTAAATCCTGTATCAACACCAGGGGAGACAGAGGTATGAAAGAAACACATGGGTTTACAACTTTCTTCAATGAAGTTGGCACTATTGAATGCAGTAACGTATCCCAGCTCTGTGGATTATTCTGCCTGCCATTAAATAGTTCAGTTTGTGAATACTTTGGAGCTTAGATGATTTTTTTTTTCCTTTAAATATTCAGAGACCAGGAGCCTGGAGATCAAGCTATTTATCCACGTTTAGCACTCGGCCCGTTTATTTGGTATAGTACCTCACCTAATATATCAAAATTAAGCATTGAACAACTCCTGATTTTTCACCACAGCCCATTAAGCTTTGCTCACTGATTAAGACATAGCATTTTTCTTGTGCTTTCAATTTTCTCCAGTGTATGGTGAGGGATCTGATATTTTTGCAATGTCCTCTATACCCAGTGGCAAAAGCAGAGAAAATCTGGCTAGGATGATTTCCAGGTTTGAAGTGTGTCCTAAGTGTTAAACATGTAACTCCAGTGCTTGCCACTCTTCTGAAAGCTATAAATGGCTCGAGCACATCTTTATTTTCATCACCACTTGGTGACCTCTTCCTACAATGTGTTGACTTCTTTATTCCAGTAACAAAAAAATCACTCTCCATTTAACAAGACACTTCAAAAGGTGCCTAACTAAGAGCACATAAGTACAATACACTCAGTAATTTTGCTCACGTGCTCAAGGACAGGCTAGGCACTTAATTACCTTGTTGAATTGGGCCACAGCTCTCACTGCTATTTTTCAGTCTCTTTTTCTTTTTTTCTTTTTTTTTTTTTTTTTTTTTTTTTTCCTTCCCCTTCTCTGGGGATGGAGCCTTGCATGTCCAAATTCCATTATCTGGGATTCATGAAGCATCATCTCTGTCTCTTATGCAAATTTGCAATAAGACACAAGTGGCTTCAATTCAAACATGAGTGGCAGCATCCCATGGAGGCAAACGAGCAGCCTCTGCTGCAGGAGAGGCTGTGGTAACAGAATCAAACAGCATGGTAATCTCTAAGTGACTTTCAAGGTTTTCATAATAAGTGAATGTTTGGGGTTTTATTCAGTGACACAGCCTGAAAAGTTTCCTCTAAATTAAAACTTGACATGTGTCAGTTTACAAGCAGTTGTGTTAAAACAAGAACAACAAGACAGCTAGGGCACCTGGGTTTCATTAATTACAATAACATACAAAACTGTTTAGGTTGTATGAATGAGTTTTTAGTTCTGAAAATTCAAATCTGGGCAGAGTTCACTTGTTACACCATCTACTTAGTAGTAGTATTATTATTATTACCACTACAGCCCATCCCACCAATAATGATGACTTATTGTGCCAAAGAATTCACAACCAGACAGAGCATCTGTTCCATAGAGTTTCTGGAATAAAAAGGCAAGGTTGGGCAAAGGTGATGATACACAACAGCACCAAATGTTTTGTGCAATTGGGCTGATGAAACACTGAGATGAAGTGATTTTCTCAAGGCCAAGCAGGGAGTGTGAAGCACAGCTGAAGTACTGTGCAGTACTTGACTTCTCCTCCCTGATTGTCTCCTTGTGCTAATAAAGACACAACCAACACAGCCAGGGCCAGCACTGCTCCAGCACACACACTGCTGGCACTCCACACTGCTCCACTTGTCACATGCCCGGACATCTCAGACATGCAGAGAAATTTATTTCCTTCCAGGCCCACAGCAGCTTTTGTGTTAGACTTATCACACTCCTACATTTGCAAGCAAAGTTCAGGATAAAACCTCCTAATCCATTTCTGATTGAGAGCCTGAATGAAGTGTTACACACAGGTTGCCTGAATCAACACACACTCTGCCTCCTCCCTGTACTTTCTTGACATGTCTTGTATCAGACAATAATGGGACAATTCCATGCTGCAGGGGAAAAAAACCAAACCAACTCTAAAATCCACTGAGAAAGGAAATTTTCCACAGGACTGGTCCTTAGACGGTGCAAGACTCATATCCTTGACCCTTCACTGATTCTCCCATCAAAACCATGATCTGTGTTCTAAGAACTTCCAGCAGCTTTTGGGGACTGATGAACAACAGACAAAAGTTGGACATATCTCTTGGCAGCTTCGTAGTCCAGCACAGGTAGAGGATGAAGGAATGGAATGTCTCCATTTTTGTGTGTGTAAAATGAGTATGGTACCATTTAAAAGTATCTAGAAATACCTTATCCTCATGGTTTTTAACCAGAACTTTGACATAATCATTGGAGACCTTGTAAGTCACTGGCAACCATTCAAAAGCAGTTGATAGCAAACACGTTTCACTTGGTTCCTACACAACCTTGCCTCGAAGACCCAGGAGCACCACAGCACTGAGATAGCAATGAGATACTACATTAGTAGTAGCATTGAGACAGCAATTGAGTAGCATTGAGATACTACATGTACACTTGGTCCTTTTCACCCTAAGAAATGATAAATGAAGCTCGGACACTGTAGAGCCCAGCTGTTTTATTTTAAGAAGTCTATTGCTAAAAGTCCAACAAGTACAAAATTAAAAAAAAATAGAGAAGGGAAGAAACAAAAGCAGCTATTGTAAAACAATAAGCCTGGGCATTGAAGAGAACGCTGGGAGCTTCAATGCCACCCTGTATGAGGGTAGGAGTGGTTCACTCAGCTGAAAGTGATTAATTTCTTGAAAATGCTGAGGTCACGCTAATTGACATGACCTGTGTAATTAAGCAGGCTCTGTTTACACACGGAAAGCTCAACTGCTGTGAAGCTGGGTTTGTATGACAGAATGTCTTTACAAGTCAAGAGATCAACAACCTTTCCTATGTCCTACCTCCCTGCCGACACAGCTCCTGATTGCTGTTCTGAGGAACACGCACAGGCATTTCCATATGAAAATCAGCCTGGAGCCTGGGCAGCACAGCCCCAGCAGAGTGTACATGTTGTGAAGCAAGCTCTGACAGGCCCCGGGGGTGACTGCTCGGGCTAAATCCCCGTGCTGCTGAGAGTCCTTTTCCCACATTCTCTCTCTGTGACAATGCCCTCTGGAATGGCAGCAGAAACGTGACAGAGGGAGGAGTGTGGGGTGAGGAGCTGAGGGCTCTGCCATGCTAATGCTGGCTTTTACACTGATTAATTTAATCCCTGTGGCCACATCTTCTCACTTCTGCACTTCCCTGCTCAGAAGCAAATAGCACCCTTCCACCTTCCAGCATTGCTGCAATTAAGCAGTTCAACAAAAGACATTCTACATATAAATAATATTGTCACTTACATAACATTCAACACTTGTATTGAAGTGCAACAATGCTGGAAATGAAGCAAGCAAAGTCCTGAGTAACTACAGAAAGCAGATATATTTTGGAGTTGTCTTTCTCCAGAAACCCATGTGGTCTATGGGACAAATCTCTTGTTTCTTCCTCAGAACCCTGAGGAAAATCCCCACGGATAGATTCTACCATGTTTTCTCCATGGGCTATAGTCACTCCTCCCACCAAAACAGAAGGTCCTTTGACTCTCTATCCCATATTTTATTCAGCACATACCCAGGTAAAGCATTATTGCCACAGTCAAAGACCATGTCTTCAATAAAAGGGTTGGAGCAATAATTTTTCAGCATTGCCATCACTCCACTCTCCTGCCAGCACTGGGGAAGTGCATGCACAGACCATCTTCCCAAGGCACTGTGATGTTCTTCATCCCAAAACGTTGTGACATAGGTGGAGCATAAAAAGACATCCTTGGCCATCTGAAGCTGTGCTGATATTTCAGCTCCCAAACCCCAGTGCCACAAGATGCAAGAGTGGGGAAATACCAGCCCAAAGCAACCCAAGAAAGAGACACCCCATGGTAGCTTTTTCCATGTTCTCACTACAGAGATGAACCTTCACCCCATCAATGCACGTTTATGAGTCTTTACCACTGCTCAGGAGTAACAAATACAGCCACAAGCCTGATTTTATTAATTGCTCTTACACCTTCCTCTCCAGGCAATAATCAAGGTGCTCACTCGGTGTCTGCATGAAAACAAATAGTTCCCCATGGAGAGAGGAATATCTCAGAGCAGGGGAGCCCCATGGCTGAAAACAACAGAGAGGTCATTTTGATTTTTCCTTTTCATGCTTTCCCTTCCGGTAGAGATGACATTATCTTCAAGAGTGCTCTCTTCCAGAGCAAGAAAACCCAACTACTTCCTGCCAATTCTGCTGTAAAAAGAAATCCTCAGGCATTATTTTGTGACCTTATGTTTTTAGCATCTTCCAGTGAATTACTAGGTTAGTTTGGGTCAAAGTACTTCTGTCCCTAACAGCTGCTGATTTTTAAAGGAGGAAGCGTGTCCGACTGACCTGGAATCGACGCATGTCTCGAGGGTTTCCTGCATTTTTTAGGCAATTTTGGTTACATTTGAGGAAAAATTTCAAGAAGAACCTGTGGAGAAAGAGAAACGAACATTAATGTCTTATAAATAGGGTGTAATGTGTATAAATATAACAGTGATATAATTATGACATCTGCACGTTTGGTCCAGCAAAGATTTATCAACATCAGTATTTCCAACTCAGACAAATCACTCCCCTGCCCATCCAAAGAGGGAGTGGAGCTGGCATAGGCCTCAGGCTAGCAAAAAATGTGTGTACATCGTGAAAATGTAAACACTAATTTCATAGTTCTGTTGTGTCAGAGCCATTAGACTTTGCAGAGTCAGTCCCTCTGTCAAGCCAGGCTCACTGTGCCATCCAGAGCAACGAGGAACAGACACGTTTTTCAGCAGAACAAAAAAAGAGAGAGAAAAATGCTAGACATGAAAATTCCCTTGGGTATAAATGGGGTTTTGCTTTACAAGTTCGCTGTCACCCACAAGTCTTGATTTAATACAAAAATACTGAAAATGTTCCATACAGTTGAAATCTCCCTCCCAGGATTAAACCAAGTTTGTGCATAAAATTAATGCTCAAATAGTGGTTAATGGAGCCCAAATCCATGAGAGAAGGGGGAAGCCTTTGTCAAAAGAATTACTTCATGGAAAAGTGAAATATTTTTGATGCAGTCTATTTCCTGACCATACACAGTTCACTGAAGTAGCTATATGACCCTGACATATATCTCTAAGAAAAGACATTGCCTTTTCCAAAGCCAAAGAAAAAAGCAAACATTTCACTGAAAATATTTCCTTCAGTGTTATGCATCAGTGGACTGTAAACTCATAAAGACAAGTCAATGAATAATAGTGGGTCTCAGATTCCAGGCTTCCTCCCTGAAAGTCAAAGTTTATCAGCCTTTTGTCCAAAATAAACTACAGACTAAGGTCTACTAAAGCTCAACTGAGCAAAGTTTAATCCTCCAGCAAGTTTAAAGCCCAGTGTAACCAGACAGGGCAACATTACATGTGCAATAACCATCAGTGACTAAGCAAAAGTTCCTCTGCCCTGTTCCCACATACAGGAGTGGGGTGGGGAACACTTTGATCCTGTTTTACTTTAAATCTGAATGTTAACTTTTGCAGGCAGCCCTCTTTTAGCTCCCAAACTGGATGCTAGGCCAGCAGAATTTGCACAGACTGTCACCAAGAAAGGCAACACTGCAGGGTAAACAGCTTCAGAAAATCCCTTTTTGATGAGCAGCATTCTTTGCCCTGCTCTAGTTGTGATGCTGCTCCTCAACAAGGCAAGTTTTGCTTCTTGTTCCTCCACGTCAAGAAAATCATACAAACAGCTGCAATGATAAATCAAACTACAAGGGACTGTTTTCATTAAAGAAATGCAATGTAATGAGGAGGTGATGCTTGGGATTATCAAGGACTAGATCTCCTGGCCTATGAAGTCTCTTCTAGACCTGAGCTTCTAAATAAGAGCAAGCAATGAACATAAAATAAACACCCACAACACTAGAAGAGAGGTTTGGAGATAGTGTTTGTTTAAAGGAAAGAGCAGTGCAAGTCATTGCATTTCTCAATCAAGCAGGTTGATATTCAATAATGGAAAGGTGGTGCTATTTGCTGTACATGTGTGTCTTTTTAAGCTGCTAATGGCCAGCTGTGACAGCCTGACTCAGATTGTGTAGAAGGAGCTGTCAGCACAAATCTTGGCATCTCAGATCCAGACAACTGCTTGCCACCAGGCGAGGGTTTGTACTTGTGCCAGAATGGATTTTGAGAGACAAGCAAATAGGGCATTAATTCCACCAAAGAAGAACGAAAAGTGGGGAGAGTTTGGGATCTTACACTTCAGATGATGGCTGTCCTGTCAGTAGCTCATCATTTAGCTCACGAGCTATGAAGGGCACAGACATCAGATCCCTCTTGCCCTAAGCTGGCCCTGTCTCACGAAACGCTGGCAGGATTCAGAGACCACCTCTCCACACGAGATTGCTCGCTGAAATAAAAAGCCTGGCCATCTGTTTGGAGGCAAAGACATCCCTGTCAGCTGGTGCCTACAGCCTCGAACAGGCCCTTATGTGGCAAAACCTCTCAGAGCCACTCACTCTTTGGGGAGAAGCTGGCACTGCCCTGGGTTTACCGCAGGATTTTGGCAGATTCGCCAAGGGCTGAGTCCAGCAGCTGCCCACCCGGTCTGCCACAGCCCCAGAGCAACACCCCAGCCCTGAGGGGAGCTGGGGCATGGAAAAGTTAAAATTAGCAAAAAATCCCTGGTTTGTATTCACATAGCACACAAATAACGGGCAATGAGGGTTGGTGGGTTGATTTAAGGACTCCCAAAAAAAGATGGAAAACTCTTTGTGAAGTTCTCTGGAGAAACATTGGGCCTTCCCTCCCCTTACAAACTCTGAATTCATGTCAACTCGAAGGCTTGGAAAATCACTCTGAAATACAGGAGTTTGCTTTTGGGGTCTGCAAAACTCTAACCCAGAGTTCTGCAGTCTAACTCCATTTGCACTGTGCAATAACCCCCAAAGGCTACAGAAGTTTCACCAAAATAAACTGCAGAAGAAATGAAGCTCATCTGTTTAAACCTACCAAAAAAACCTCAGGCAAGCAAGCAAGCAAACAAAACTTCCTTTGAATTAAACCAACTCCAGAAAAAAATTAACTTGCAAAAATAACAGCATTTTCAGAGGAACGCGAAGCTTGCACAGCCAAGTTCACTCACTGCATGTTAAGCAAAAAAAAGCCACCAGTTCACAGAACACATTCTGCCAAGTGCCGTGTTTTAATTCCACTGAAAGACAAAACAAACTATGGAGCTGCACTTTGTTTTGGAACACACCAGGGCTGGAGTCCCTCTGGCCACACAAAGCACCCCAGACTCATCCAGGCAAGAGCTGAGCAGCTCCTGGGCTGGCACTGCACACCCCAGCTGATGGAACCCCCAACCCTGGCAGCAAGGAGGGTGAGAACAGATTAAGACAAGAGTAGAGCAGAGCAGTTTGAATCATGGGGCTCAGCCCAGGCTCTTGGTTCCTGCTTTAAACCACTTGTTCAGGTGCCTTCACCACCTCAAGTCTGGTCCTGCCAGCGTTGCTCATTAGCAACACTTCACTCTGCAAATATTTCAGATTTGGATTGACAGCACTGGTCCAGGAGAAGTGCCAACAGAGCTGAGCTCTTTGTAAGTATAAACCTCCATCCCCATTTGCTCACATCGAGCTTCTTCACAGTGGGTTATTTTTTTTCAATTCTAACTTTCCCTGCATTTGGCAGGACTGTGTACCGTTAATGCTAACCACGGAGGATATATAGCATTAATACTCACTACTGGGGTCTGAAATTAATTTCCAAGATGAAAAAAAAAATGTGCAAAACACAGGAGTGTCAATAAAATCTTCAACTCTCTCTCCAAACTTATTTGACTGCTGAACACCCGCTCGTCTGCCACACAGGAGTCAGTCATCAATTATAATTATTGCTACCATTGAAGGTTTGGGGGTTTTTTTATGAATCAACTAAAACATATTTTCTGACTCCCTTCCTGACTACTACCATCCCTGGTGTGAAGAGCGTTTGTGCATGTGGAACAGAGAAATACAATCCAGCTCCATTCAGGAACAAAAATTTTTTACAGAGCACTTGGATTTACTGACTTGCATTGGTATTAAACCAGAGAATTCCATGCATTACCTTTATCCCACAGAGACATGGCTGGAGTGTAAAGAAGGGAAGTTTAGGGGAAAACTAGTTAATTTTAGATTATATTTAGGTGTCCTACGATGCTACTCAGGGCAGGCTGCAAAAACTGCTGAGGGAGTGAAGCTGCTGAGCAGTTAATCTGTGCCATGCATGTACAACAAATCCCTGAGTAACTGCAAGGTCCAGTGTAGAAATACACCCTCTGGTTAAATGCAAAGCCCTAGGCTGCATCACATCCCAAACCAATGTGAATTTCTGTCTGCCAGGCAAAAGCCCTAAAAAATATGCTATTGGCTGTTCTGGGAATGTTCTCTCCTTTTCTCACAGCTCAATAGAAATTCCTTTTTTGGAGATGAAGGGGTTTTTTTCTAACAAAACTGCTGTGTTTCCAAAAGGATGTTGGTGCCAGTAGGACTGTGCTCTCATCCTCTGCTAGAGAGGAATTCTACCCCAGGCCTGGTTCCTACTGATACTTCCAGCTCCTGAAACCAGCTTTGCCCTCACTCCTGCCCCATCCATCCTCTGATTCCACTTGATCCACTGATGGATCCACTTATTTAAAATGCTCTCTGCTGGCTTTATTGTCCATCACACTCCAAACCCTTTGGGTTTGTGCATCACCTTCTCCAGCAGCATCCCACACTTTGCCACTACCACGGGGATTTAAATTAAACACATGGCAGAAATGGAAATCCAAGTAATGAAGGTGTAAGAGGATTTTGCCTTCCTGCTTTTCTTACCACTACAAATTACTACTCATGTTTATTAAAAATAACTGAAGAGTTAAATTAAAGAAAGCAAGTTCTGACATGATCTACGTTGGCTCTTCTGTCACTCTGCTGAAGGAAATTTAAATGAACTCAAACACGAAGGCTTAGCAGTAGGATTTTCTTGCCATTGCCACAATAAATATGTCTGTGGAAGGAGAAAAAAATAGTTGGAAAGAAGACCTACTGCATTCCTGATGCTGAAGAAAAGCTTGTTTGTTCCTGATACATTGGAGAAGTTGTTCAAGAACAGTTCCTCCATGTGAAAATACGACAGCTGTCATGGTGCCAAGGTCAGCCAGACCAGTGGCTATCCAGAGAGTGAGTGCTGGTTATACAGCTCAGACCTGGCTAGGGCAAACAAAACTGACAAAACACACCTTTTCTGTGGTGTAAACACATTTAATAGAAAAAGGGCAACTTCAGACTCCTGGATGAAACACAGCAGCAAGTATATGTGGGTTTGTAAAATTAGTAAAACCGAAATACACGGGCCAGGGCAATAATTAGCAACTTTCCATCAGATAAAAGGATTGCATGCCCATTCTGTATGGCACACCAATTCAGCAGAGTACTAA